TGTATATCTCACGTGGATTTTTTTTCAAGGAAATTGATCGGCATTTTTTTAGAACCGGATTTACTAATAAATGATCATGTGCTGGACCGTATCCTTAAGTATTTTAATTCGATAAGTCGGTCATGTGAGCTCACCCCACATGACCGACTTATTGAGTTTACATATGTATAACCAACTTTGATTTAATTAATTACCTCATGGTCGGTCATACATTTCTGTGAAAATTTTTTTTACTTTTTTTATGATCACTTCATGTGTATCCTCGTCAGCATTCCAATTATTCTTCTTGTGGTTTGGATCATGGCCATTAATATTATTATTGCTGGAATTGTGGTATGCAACAAGCAAAACTAACCTTATCTTATTTGCACAAGTTACCTCATATACTATTATATATAGTTCTTCTCCGTTTCTGGTTTTTTTCTTTTGATTGCAATCATCAACTATATCGGTTATTTTATCTTCACCATTATTCTGAAGGGTCTAGGTGAGTTTTGATAATCAAATTTGAGCAATATAAAGTATTAATACCATGTTTTTTTTTAAAAAAAAATTTACTAACTACTGGTACAGATATGTTGAAAGCCAATGATAAGAAAATAGATTTTAATAATTTAAACCTTGATTGTTCATATACCCTTGAAAAATTTGAATTCATCAACGACCAGCTTAAGACACACATTCTAGAAATTGACGGACATCCAGTTAACCCTTTTGATCTTGACAAAAATGGTAAGCTTATCCCTGTGCCATAATCACTCTATTCTAGAGAAAAAGTTGTTGCTGAGATTGTTGCACAACTTCGTATTTGGAATATTTATACATGACAAAATGGTGGTGTTGCTTCATCACAGAGAGGATTCGATTTTGATGTTGGAGGTGGTAAAACAATCAGAGCGCTGGATATTTCTTATAGATCCAAAGAAATAGATCATCAATTGAATGCACAACAGAATTGGAGTTTTAAAGGTGATCCTTTTACCCCTATATTTGTTATCGAAGTCGGAAACATTTCAACTCGTTCAAAGTTTGAGGAACTTGATAGAAAATTCAAGGATGTATACTTCACAGAGGGGGCCTTTGTACAATTGGGATGGTTAATAGATCCAGAAAATAAAGAGATCCACATATGTAGAAGCGGTCGACGCTGTATTAATCATGGATGGAAAGATGTTAATGCTAAGAATATTTTACCAAGGTTTACTTTAGAAATATGGAAAATCGAACATGTAATTTCACAGGTGTGTTTTTATTATTTACATGTACAATCAATTTTATCATTTGTGTATTTAATGGTTTAATTACAGCGAGAATCGGTATCACTTGAACCCATATCATTCTATTGTTCCTCATGCTCAAAAACCTTTGCCGATTCATACAATATGATTAAACATATGGAGAGTAACCATGCATACAAACGAAGACATTGATTAGCATTTGGATCAAAATAAATATTAGTATTAATACTAATAATTCTACACATATAAACAAATATAACTAAATCATTATCATCACTACTACCATCATTGTCATTATCTGACGAGTAATAAATTCAATAAATAAAATATCTATTATTTTTTGCTTGTGGCAGCCATTTTGCGGGTTATATTGGTTTGTAAAACGTGAGTATTTTCTCCAGTACATTCATGCTATTTGTAATTATACAAAAATATATATGGCATATATACCTGACATTTTGGACCGTTCAAAATTATCAAAAACTTGCCTTGCATTGGTGCCTTTACTTCAGATCCCAGATTGTCAAAGACAACATGTATATTTTCGAGTCTGGGATTCAAAAACACCTTTTTACATTTTATTTTGTTGTTATTATTATTATCAGTCAATTTCAATTCAATGATCGATAACAAACAATATGTACAAATTTTTTTCGATTTGACCATTTTCAGAGATGGTGAATGATCTGGATAGGAAAAATTTTATTTTTAATTTCCTTTCAGAGAAAACAAATAAAAACCACTGGTTAATCTTTGCAAAGGACTTTTTTTTAAATTTGTAAATAACTTTTGATGTTTGCATGAAGTTTATCCTTCTATAGCGATATACTTGAAAAAAAAAAAAAATACAATTGATCCAATTGACTTTTAATTTGGGATAAATAAATAAACATGAGGAAAAGATCAGGACAAGGGGTTCTTTTTTATAATTAAGAAAAAAAAGCTTAAGTTGATTTTTTTTAACAATTGAAATTTGTAAATAATTTTTAAATTCTTCTTTGCAAAGGATCTTTTATTAAATTATTAAACTCATGAACAATTTCCCTTTGTATATGTAATTTTTTTAAATAAATATATAAATTTTTTGCTCAACACAACGAATAAAATAAAAATATTGATATAATAATAATATTTATGGCTAATGTTGATGCTCCGAACGAATATATAGATACCTCGCATTTGAACATAACGTGTAAAGCCAAATCATACATATAATGTCATTTCAGCACTACGTGCTTGACCCTCTAATTTTAATGTAACGTAAAAACAAAACCAATGCACCATTTTTGGGGGGTGGCGGGCCTATTTATATGTTTTTGTTGTAATTTGTTAGACTACTCAATCAATGCACCATCTGCCATGAAATAGTCTATTTTTATTAATGATTACATCATTAATCACGAATACATGATAAGATGCTGAAATTCTTCGCATCCAGTGCTAATTTTTGATGCTCAGAACGAATTGTGTATATGTGATTGAGTTATGTGATTTTATAATAATATGAAACTCACTGTCACTTTTTCATTTAAAAGCTTGTTTATCATTACGGTTTAAAAAATTTTAAATCTTCAGTCTAACTGTAGAAAAAGGCTTTTCTTTCACTAGCTTTAAAAATTGTTTGCAATATTATATAACCATTAATTCTAAATCATCAACTTCAGAATTTTTTAAATGGTCCAAAAATACATCAGGACTAAATGTAGGTAGTATGACCAATGCTTTCATGGTCAGCACTTGTCATGCTAAATATTGGATCATTGCATTATTTTTATTTTGTTATGAACAATTATCTGCATTAATTATTTATTCTTCTTTGGCAAGACCATACAATTCATGTACTAAATATCAGCTCCTTTGCCAACAAATTATATTAATTTCACATATAGTTATTTTCCATATTTGCCCTTCTTAATAAATGGTCTTTGCTGTTTCTGTCTGTAATAATAAAATGAATAATTCAAATAAGAATTTGTATGAACAGAAACTCTAAATATTTGTTGTGTGGATTCTGGCTGTCACATATACATTTTGAGTCATTTGAATCCTGGATTTCAAGATTTTTCAATCTTGTTAGCCAGGGAGATTGCGGTGGTAATCATACTGACAATTTTAATAATTCTGACACCTATTATCAATCCATCAGGATTATAATATAATTTTTTAAAATATTGGAATTCATTTCCCTATTGATGAGAGCTCCTATTGTTGCTTTGAATTTTTCGGGTGAATCTACACATCCATACCTTTCTTTAAATATTAATAGAATGACTTTTTTTATATTAGGTGTGTTAGATTCCTTTGCATGGTCTTTGTTCCAGAAACACAGATGATACAGTTTTTTGTTTTTTTAGAATAAAAAAAAATAATGATGATGATGAAATCATGTCTAGTAGTAATACACATATGCTGAAGCACATACTAAAGTAATTAGCAGTAGGATGATTTCAAACAATAACCCAGAAACAGGATCAAAAACGATTCAATCTTAATAACATATTTATCTTTAATGGATATACAACAAACAACGCAAATATATATTGCAAGCTCCAACAGCATCATTAATAATGTATGTTGGTAGACAGTGATAGCAATAATTCGAACAATGTTTGGGGCCCAAGAGATGCTTTTACAACAGCTTGGAGAGGCTGAAGGAAAGTTCTTTGATTTTGTTTCTTCTGGTTTAATTTAATATCAACTAGAAGTTCTGTTTCAAGTATATCATCATCATACTTGTTCTGTGTGAAATTCAAATTACCAATCGGATTCCGTATGCAAATAAAACACACCAAAAATTAATTACAAATGAGACAGAGGATTTTCCTTGCTAACCAACCACCCAATAACGGTATTCACTAGAGATTGATTTTCTGTGATTGATTATCGAAATGATTGGCAAATTGTTGAATTGTCATTGTTTAATGGCAATAATGCAACAATTTCATTTCAAAAAAGATATTGATATTGACAACACAAACTAGAAAAAATTTTTTTAATCATTAAATCAGACAACATGTTCTCTCAAGTAGTAGATGTGTCTAATTATTGTACAATACATGGATTAATTAATAAAAGATCATAGTAAATCTTTAATTATATTCAAACAAAGGAAGTTGGAACAGTCATTTTAGATATTCTTTTATTTGCGTCATTTTTTGATCTTAAAATTCAAAAATGGTGAAATTTATAGATTTGTTTAAATTTATAACTTAAGATCATCATCATCTATAAATTATCCCATCTAATTCTACAGAACAGGCTTAGTTCTGATGGTTCTCTAGGCGTTTTTTTAAAGCATTTCAGCTTGGAACTATAATTTATTAAAAAAATAAATTTCATGGAAGGCAACTCTATTTATAAACAGGTTATAGCATAAATTTTAACAAATAAAATGATGTTCCATGTCGCAATCAAAAAAAGGAGGCAAAGTGGTTGCAACCAGGTGTTGCAATCATTTTTATATGACGTAAAGGTGATTGCAACCACCATCAAAAGGTGCAGCCAGTATTCTTAAAATAACAAAATCCTTGTTGCTATAAAAGTTGAATAATAATGGCATGATTTCATGGTTTGAACATGTTGCAAAAAATCTGGGGATAGCCATCCTATTTACATGTTTCAAATTTAATAGAATATACTATTGTCTTGACCCAAATGATGTGATTTCACAATGAAGAAGACATAATCCAAATGCAACTTAACTTTTGATCTTGCATAACACATAATGATGATGTTGAAAATTTTGATTTTAAACATTGATGTAACTAAAGTATTGACTAAAGGTAATTTCTCTCCAGGGCCATTTTGACAATTGACTGCAAGTGGGTGGATACAAGTAAAAACACTTGATACAAGCAGCAATAATGATAATGATAAAAAATGTGTACCCAGGGATGGATAAA